CCAACACATAGTATTGTTGATGGACATTTATTACATCTACATGTCACAATCAATGAGTCATCATACAACATACTCAATGTATATGCACCGACCTATGGCTCTGAGCGCCTTGGATTCTATAACATCCTCAAGAAAACAATACACGACCTAGGCAATAATATCCATATCATCATTGCAGGCGACTTCAATTGTACGCTAAACGCCATAATAGATCGCAACAATGGAACCGAGCCTCACCCACAATCTGCTCGTTTTTTACAGACCATATTAAGCCGCTATAAATTGGTCGATGCATGGCGTCGTATTCACGCTAACAAAAATGAGTTTACTTGGGAAAGAGGTAACAGCTGCTCTCGACTAAGATACTTTCTTCATCAATAACTCAGTTATGTCTAAGGTTGTGCAAATATCAATTGATCCGTCTTTTCACTTCTCTGACCATAAGTTGGTTACTATTATGATATCACAACGGAAAATTAATAACCGCAGTTCCTTGTGGTGTTTTAACACAAGCCTTATTGAAGACGAAATATATTGTGATATAATAGAAGATTTTTGGATAATGTGGCAAAAGCAAAGAGAAAAATGCAATTCTATACAATTCTGGTGGGATATTGGCAAGCACAAAATAAAAGAACTAACAAAACAATATTGCTCTAACAAGTCAAGTAATTATAAAAAATGAAAGAAACACTTGTTCAAGAAATAAAACGCTTAGAAGGTTTTTTCAACAACCAAGCATAAATTAAAGAACTTTCTCTAAAAAAAGATGAACTAAAGGGGATAGTAAACAAAGAGTACGTGGGGCGTCAATTCGATCTCGTCACCAACTCTTTAATGAGTCTGATAATTGCTGTAGTTTTTTCTCGACTTAGAAAAAAATAGAGGTTCACTAAAATCAATTGCGCAACTCCGTGACAATGACAACAAACTAACGGAGGATACAAATGCAATATGTCACTTAACAAGGCAGTTTTACTCAGATTTGTTTTCACCATCTCCAATTTCCAAAGAAGCTCAAAATACAATTCTTCAGAATCTTCCCCAGCTTGACCCTGAACTGTCTTCTCAAAGTGACAATCCCATCTTTTATGAAGAACTCTCTAAATCAGTGTACAATATCTTGAACGGAAGAACCCCTGGCATCGATGGACTACCAGTCGAGTTTTATAAAAAATTTTGGT